ACTTAATCTCATCCTATTTCTCTATTTTGTCTCTCTCTCTCTCTTACAGAAAAACACACACTCCTAAATATATAAATAAAAAATAAGCAATATTTGTTGATAATGGGATAATCCAATTTTACTGTATTGTTTATTTTGATAACATTTGAGAAGAATTTTTACCTCTTATATCTTGTGGCTATCTATAAGGAGAGTTAAGTGATTATTTGTAAATGATATATTTGAGTCATTTATTTATCTCATATAATTTTGTATTTATAAGAGTGTGTAGTGAGTGTCATATTGCTGCAAGTTTTGATAACAGGAAGTATGTTTGTAATGCTCCTGTCTTATTGTTTTTTTCAGCATAATTTTATTGACACTAGATTTCTCATGTTTCTGTACAAATGTTATAATAATTTCTTCATTAGGAAAAAGAATAAAATACATGGGGATCTATTGGCCCACTCTATGAAATGTCTACATTGCTTGTAAATACTGCATTCATAGTAATATGAATAATTTGAAACTACTTTTCTAGGAATTTGGGAACTCTCTAATTTATGTAGATATTATTCACCATATAAAAAGCTTGTGCCATCCCGCCCAGCTACTCTTTTTTCTTCCTCGTTTTCTCTCACAAGCTTACATATATGTTTAAACAAAGTGTAAACATTTAGAGGTTTTTCTTCATCTGTTTTTATTGTAAATCTTTTACATTTATATATTTTATGTTTTCTCAACATTCCTAAAAATTTTCCCTCTTATTTCATGATCCTGATGTAAGATCTCCCAAGCCTTCTCATGACAATCTCAGACTAAAGCACAGAGGAAATGCTTCACCCCAACTTCTGAGAACGCTTCATTGAACATATGCTCAACCTACCTAGTTTGTGGTATTGTAAATCTTGTGTTTTCGTAGTTTGCACATTCAATTACTAATTTCTTGCATGTAAAATTCTATTACATTTTTATGTTTTCATGTATTAACTAGTCTACTCACCATATTTGTGTATGTCTTACTATTTTGTAGAAATTACGTGATGTGTTTCCAACTGGACATAGTTTATATTTCTTGCCACGGAAACACCTATTGCTCATTTACTGCAATAATTATCTTGAGGTCAATGTCCAGTAAATGTTCTGTGAGGTGGCATCCACTTGCACATTTCCTTTATGACTTTTGGGAAAGTACAGAAACTTGGAGGATCCTAGGTATTTCATTCTTTTACATTCATAATATTCCAGTTCTATATATGACCACATATGTTGAATCCTAATTATCTTTGCTTTTCTCTTATGCTGAAACTGTACTTTCTAAGGACCTCTACCATATTCTCTTCTTTATTAAAAATATTTGAATTTAATGCCTTCCTTGGGCATTCATGTAATATCCACATAACTATCTCTCAGACTTTACCTGTCCACTAATCAGTCCAATTTCAAACTCCTGTAGATATGATGATAAAAATGGTAATGCATTTAGATAATATAATGTTTGATAAAGTCTTGGTAGGAGTCTATAATTCCAAAGACTCCCTAGCCCTGTGATGACCGCTGGTTAAAAATATTAAGCATGATTTACCAGTTTTAGGCATGACCTGGATTCAGTTATAGAGATGTTAGGTATTGATAAGATATATGAGACAGTAGTGCACATTTAACTACATCTAGCCATGCTGGTCATTCAAAGATCCATAAATAAATTGGACAAGTTTTACTTTTCTTCCTTAAGATTTATCTATTGCCATACTGGTTGGTCTCTGAAATACTACCTTCAGGTGTTTGGGATTTATGTTATTTCTGTTCAAGTTTCTATAGATGCATAACAAAACCACAGTGTTTCACCCAGAAAAGACACCCTTAGTGTCCTTCATGTTTCCTAGTTTTGTTGGTGAAGAGGATTATAGGCTGATAATCCTTTGCTCTATGTCTAAAATTCATATATGAGTGAGTACATACCATGTTTGTCTTTTTGTGACTGGGTTACCTCACTCAGGATGGTTTCTTCTGGTTCCATCCATTTGCCTGTAAATTTCAAGATTCCATTCCATTTTTTCTGCTGAGTAGTACTCCATTGTATAAATGCACCCCATTTTCTCTATCCATTCTAGAGTGGAGGGGCATCTAGTTACTTCCACCTTCTTGCTATTACAAAAATGCTGCTATGAACATGGTTGAACATATGTCCTTGTTGTATGAACATGCATTATTTGGGTATATGCCCAAGAGAAGAATTGCTGGATCTCGAGTTAGACTGATTCCCATTTTTCTGAGCAACCGCCATACTGATTTCCAGAGTGGTCTTACAAGATTGCACTCCCCCCAGCAATGGAGGTGTGTTTCTTTTTCTCCATATACTCTCCAGCAAAGATTGTCATTTTTTTTTTATTTTAGCCAATCTGAATGGTGTTACGTGGCATCTCAGAGTTGTTTTGTGTTGCATTTCTCTGATGGCCAAGGATTTTGACCCTCTCTTCTTGCCCAACTCCTGTCCAAACCCCATTCTCCCCAAGTTCCTGAGTCTATGGTATTGTAAAACCACTTGCTTCCTAATTTCTCATTTTATAGCAATCGCTCATGTAAGTAATTTGATTGAATCTTGTATTTTGTTAGATGTTATCTTCTGGAATTTGCATGTAATTAGACCTATGTAATTTTGGTTACTGAGTTCTTTATGTTATAGAAAGTTATGCCATTTCAGATAAAATCTGGTTTGCATTTGGAATCAGACACCTAAAAACCAGAAATATGTAGTATTTATGTTTCACAATAACTGTTTAGAGTAAAGCTTCCTGGAAATGGGAAATAGAGATGACAAGGTGAATATTCTTGATTATCACTGTCCCTTAAGGATCTGCACATCTGCTACTCCCATATGTAATGCATCATATCTTCTATATGTTGGAGGGTTTTGGTTTGATAATTAATTAATATTATTTCCAGTTCATTGTCATTGGCCATGTGAATTTACATTTTTTCCCTTTCATGATTTTAAATACTTTATTTAATTTTTAGCTTAGTCAATAAGTTTATTATTTTATGAAAAAATCTTCATTGTAAACTGGTTTAGATGTCAAGAGCTGGTTCTTCAGCTCTGAGAAAGCTTGCTTTCTTTTGAGCAACCTGATCTTTCTTCTTGGCCAAAAAATTTTGGGACGGTTCCAGGTCTTCTCCTTCATCTCTCTTTTGGGCCTCTTCTCATAGACTGGATTCTCTCGAATAGCAGCATGAGCTTTCTTACACATCTCCCCTGTCATTGTTCTTTATGTAGTGGGAGAACTGTTTCTTATAAGCATCTTCATCTTGCTCCATTAGGTAACACAGAATGTCTGTGACATTCTGTCCCATGATGAGTCTTATGCACGTCTGCATTGAACTCCTGTCCCATGATGTAAGTCTTATGCACGTCTGCATTGAACACCTTGCTTTCAGAATCATAACCAGAGAATCGTTTGGTACTATGAGGAATAGAAACCCTCCATGCACAGCTCCCTACAGGGCACCCAAAACTTTATTGCCAGTTGTAGTTCGAATAAGACCTGCATACAGATAATAAGTGAAGTCACCAGGCTGACCATCAATGCTCTCTGCATTGTATTCATCTCCAGTCACTTCCAACTAAATCTTTTTTTCTTGATATGGGGAAAGAGAGAAGTAACTGTAGATAAATTGTACAAATTATCTTAATGCTGCAGAGTATATATTTTGCCCTTTGGCTTTTCATCATAGGAGAGTAAGTGGTTTCCTTCAAGAGGCATAGACATAGAGAGTGTGGTCAAGGATATCACTAAGATGAGGTCACGTGGACAATCACATTGATTAGAGAAATCACAGGATAACAGTCTTTTTCTTCTTGGTGGCAGATATGCTTGATACCCGTATGAATGATTTCTACCTGGGAATGCCACATCAGTGACAGAATTATCAGCAATTAGGAACAGAAGAATTCTGGCTCCTTCAGTGTTTACTGAGAAATTACTCTCAGATGAGATTCAGCTCTGAGAGATACTTCTTGTATGAGGTAAGAATTGTAGTAAAAAGCAGCATGAGGCTGACATTTTGGCAAAGGCTTTCCATACAACAGGTATATTGGATAAAATAAAAGAAATGCAAATTTTGATTAGTATTCTTTATAGGTGAGGAGGCCAAAAGTGTAAGAGGGCATCTTTTAGACCAATAATACAGAACACCCTCTGAACCTCCCAAAGCTGAAAACTGATGGAATCATGTAGCAAAAAGTGTAGGTGTCTGTGGTAATGATCATCAAGGATTGCTCAACACTGAAATTTCTAGTGTTGCAGAAAATCTTCCACCTGAACAGTTTTTATTAAATTTTGCAGTCACATATATGTAATTATGTGAACTTAAAGAAAACTGCTGAATCCTTCAGCATTTTTATATTCCTCATATAGAGCATGCATGCATGTGTTTAGGGCTGTATTCTTTGTCTCATCTGTCCCATCAAAGGGCTCGCCCTGGGGAAGTCTGCTTCATCAAATCCTTCCCAATATCAGTACAGGTAGATCTTCAGGTACCAGTTAGAACCTGTGAGTTTCTCCCATCCACTTCGGCATTTCAAGTTGAAGCGTCATTTTATTTTTTATTAATCTTTATGCTTTCTTATTTTGAGATATAAACAGTGAACCTTACAGTAACATACAGAAGACACTTTCTCACAGCAGGCATACTATTCCTCTGTATCCTATGGTTGTCCTTCCACCTCTTCCACAATATTACCCAAGTGTGGAGTCCAAGTTAGTTTTTTTTTTAAATCAGGTATTTGGTTCAGCAGAGTCAGTTGCATTTGACCAGATGAAAATTTTATTATATCTTTCTACTGGAAAATGCAGCTACTTTGATGAGGGTGATGGATACATTCATCTGTGGGTAAAAGGATAAATATTTTAAATGCATATAGTATTTTTCCTGCTTTAAAAACTTCCTTCTGTAGGTTCTTTTCGAATATCCATTATCTCAGTGCCTATGGATAGTTGGCCAGGTTTACACTGTTTAGCATTTTTTTTTCATTTGACGATGATATAACTCTACTCCATTAACCAGAGATATCACAAACAATTCACTTACAGATTTGCATTGCCAGGCCTCTGATGATCCAGTAAGGGCTAAGATTTAGGAAATGATGATGCTTGAGGAAGGTTAGGAAAATCATGAACTTCACATCACTTCTGCAGCAATGTTACCCCAGTGGTCACCTCAAGATTGCATGGTGGTAAGGAGTAGCCCAAAGGTAAGATGAATGACATTCAAGAATATCTCTGGCACACTTATTGTTTAAGAAATTCAAAAATCAAACATGTGAAAGTAAAGTAAATGTAAGTTTTTGGAGAGAAGCTTGGCTCACATTTGATGTGGAATAGAGTAGAGTTTCCTGGGTGCTGCTCATGTTCCCTTACAAGATACCGGCTAGCACCAGAACAACATAGACAGTTTCCTACTTTTTAAAGTTTCCGATTAATAAATTGAAACTTCAGGTATTCAGATATATGATAAAAAAATCTGGTGACTAATGTTGAATGGCCACCCCTATGGTCATTAATTATATACATTTGTCTGCCTTATGGCCATTAAATATTTTCAATGGTCAATCTTATTGACTTTGAAATATATTCAATGTGTTACTTTTTCTTTTAAGTTCAAACATACCTGGGTGGTTTGTTGCCTCAGGCATAAACACACTTTTATTTATGTTCACCAGAGTTAATTTGCAGATTATAGAAGTAAACATCCAGGGATAGTTGTGGATTTGCAATCAAGTACATGATAGTAATTGACAGATATATGAGTAATGCTTGTCAGCTAAGTAAGAGCATCTGGTGAAGTTTTGTGATAATTATTGTCTCACAAATTGGCAGAGGTAGTAAATATTTGAATAAACCAGTATTTGCTGAAGATGATAGCAGAATTGCACATATGAATTCCTAGCACTTATAACTTCATGTGAAGACTTT